TCGGAAAGCTGTCTCAACACAAGAAGAACGAGCAAGAAACTTGCGTGTTGCTCTTTTAAATAATTTTATTGTTACTTTACATTTTAAGTTAAGTGTGTGAATACAAACTACCAATTAGCACTAATTCAATTATATACAACCAACTGGTTAAACAACTAAATGAGAGGAAATCAGTCGTAGTGATTAGAGCAGACCAGTCCCTACAAGCAGCACCCATTACGATTATGACAGATGAGCCAGCCATCACTGCGCTCGACCATATTTTAGGGAGCCCAATGACCCGGCCCACCACGCCGCCACATGTCTGGACATTTTAGTGAGCATGACTACTCAAGACATAAAGCAAATTGGATAACATCATTACAGTTTCAGAATACTTTATGTATTTATATTATTTTGTTTAATTCCGCTGCAATTTTTTTTTTTATACCACTTAGGTGGCAAACAACCATACGGCCCATCTGATGGTAAACGGTTACCGTAGCCTATGGACGCCTGAAACACCAGGGGTGTCACGTGCGCGTTGCCGACCCTTAAGAAACCTTAATATACCCTTCTTGAGAACCCCCATGCTGTAGTCTCTCGAGAAAACCTTGGCAGGTAGTTCATTCCACAATCTAAGTGTACGCGGGAGGAAGCTCCTCTGAAACCGCACTGTCCGAGACCACTTAGGTTCCAGCGTATGGGGATGAATTCCCTGTCGATGGCGAGCGGTGCGATGGTAAAAGGTAGCCGTAGGCATCATGTCAAACAATTCATTAGAACACAGTCCGTTGTATATTCGGTAGAACACACAAAGCGATGCGAAGTCTCGCCTCAAGCTAAGTGGTGATGTGTGAGACCACAAATATTCTGTGTGGAAACTTGACTACCGTTACGACCTTCTCTAATGGTGATCAGATTCCGACCGTTATTGAGTCTACACCCATATCGCGACACGTTTTTCGCCTCCGAACGAGGCATCATCAGGCGTTGAATAGAGTTCGGATATAGCTTGGAAGTCTGGTGTTTTTTTTATGGCGGCAATCAAGCATACGGCCCATCTGATGGTAAATGGTTACCGTAGCCTATGAAGCACCAGGGGTGTCACGTGCGCGTTGCCGACCCTTAAGAAACCTTAATATACCCTTCTAGAAAAAACCCCATGCTGTAGTCTCGTGAGAAAACCTCGGCAGGAAGTTAATTCCACAATCTAAGTGTACGCGGGAGGAAGCTCCTCCAAAACCGCACTGTCCGAGACCACTTAGGTTCCAGCGTGTGGGAAAGAATTACCTGTCGATGGTGAGCGGTGCGATGGTGAAAGGTTGATGGTGTAGGTTGTTATAGGTGTTGACTCTTCGGCAACCAAATGGACTTCCGCAAAATAATTCTTAATTCGATTAAATACGTTTCAAAATAGCTTAATAACGCGCTTTATATTTATTCTGTAATATTATTTGTGATGTGTTATGGATATTTTTATTTTAATACTACCATATTGTTATTAGAATATACAAAATGCACCGTACGCATCACTGTGGGTATTTTTTTTTAATTATTGTTTATTTTCTCTTTTCTCCATTTACAGTTTAACTTTTTTTATTTGAAGGCTTTTAAAATTTTACGATTATTATAATTTTCCTTTTTATTATTTATATACTTTTTCTCTTAGATATATTTTTTTTTAATTGTATATTTTCTGTTTTATAAAGTTTATGTGTATTTTTTAATTGTAATATATGTGCGTCCGTACTGTGGGCCCAACTGAAAATCAGCGCTGGAAACTATGTTTGCAGCATTATGCAGAGTTGTGTTCCACATTGACTCTGTTTTTTTATGTGTAAATTATTCTAGTACTTCTTATGTTATTAATGTATAAAACGAGTTAATAAATTCTATTCTATTCTATTTTTTATTATTTATTGTTGTTCTATAGTTATTGATCTGCTATTAAGTACAGTAAGTTCTTAGTTACTTACTACATACTGTGAATTATGAAATGCAAAGTTTAAATTATTGACGACCTCGGTGGTCTAGCGGTCGGTCTAGCACACCGCTTCACGACCAATAGTCGCGGGTTCGATTCCTCGCACGGCACAAACATTTGTATTCATGAGTATTATTGTTTGTATCGGTCTGGGTGTTTTCTATGCATAATATGTGTGTATTTACAAAAAGAAAATCTATGTATGGGTATCAGTTACCTACTACTCATAACACAAGCTTTAGCTAGCTTAACTTGGGTCTAGATGGCGCTGTGTGAATTGTCCTGAGGTTATTATTATTAAATTAATAAAATTATCATTTGAGTATTCTATACAAATATTTTGAAAATATACTGTAATATACAAATATTATGAAAATATAGTATACATAATATTTATTTATATTCATCATTACATAGTATAAAACAAAGTCGCTGTCGCTGTCTGTCCCTATGTATGTTTAAATCTTTAAAACTACGCAACGGATTTTGAAGCGGTTTTTTTATAGTTAGAGTGATTCAAGAGGAAGGTTTATATATATAATACATGCACACCCGTGCGAAGCTGAAGTGCTAGTATCATACAATTGCTTCGCTTACATAACTAAGTCTTTAGCGAGTGAGTTTATTTATTCGATGTATTGAATATAGTGACATCGGCGCGGCGTCAGAAAGTCGTCGCTGTAGCGGAACTGACCGCCTCAACTAGATTCACAGATTCCTACCATTTACCATTATATAACTCACTTCCATTGCAAACAACATATAATAGGGAAGTTAGTTATTTACATTCAATGAGGCTTGCTCTATTGACAATTATTGGATTTATGATGATTTTTTTCGGACTACTCTAATGCTGTTGGCCGCAGCTGGCCTTTACAGCTTCACCGGACGATAGGGGGCGAGTGCAGATGGCGCTACAAACCAAAGGAAGGAGTTATGGAGCGTCTTAAGGCCAACTCCCGCATGACGGATATGACTTTAGTCTGAGGGCACCGCTAGGGATTCGAACCTCGGCTCAGGCCGTCGTAATTTCGATCCCCGTTTGAATTTGACGGGGGTTCGATCGGAGGGTGTCATGTGATGACAATTGACAATCAGTTATATTTGGCAGAGTCTGTACTCAATTTGCCAGAAAAAGATTCAAATGTCTTATAAAATATTTTCTTTATAAAAAAGCTTATTAATTAAATTCAAATTCAAAATATCCTTATACATGTAGGTCTATTACAGACTCTTATGATATGTCAATCTACCGTCAGTTCGGAATGATTTCGAGATGAGAAGAACTGACAAGAAACTCCGCTCGTATTCTTTTTAAATAAATATTTATAATAATACAGATACATTTAATTTAAAAATTATAAAATTGAAGAATTTATAAATGATAATAATGTTTTGTAGAAAAAATCTAACTTAAAATTCATAGCGCTGACAATGTTATCTGATCTGATAACGTTGTCTGATCTGGTCTTATCTGAGAGATGAAGTGCGTAGCGGTTTCTACGTTGATTGTCGCATGCCTAATCCTTGTTAATGTAAATATAATTAAAACAATATTTATATAAAAGAGCAACACACAAGTTTCTTGCTCATTCTGCTTGTGAAAAGTAATAAATAAAGTAAAGTAAAAATGTAACTATTCAAAAGTGCTTATATTAAGTTTATTTTAATAAAGATTATTTCTATTTCTATTTAAATTTCTTATATACTTGATATTATGCTTAATTGGTAATTTTAATATAAACTACATACATACGATTTGTACGAGACATAAAAACTGTTGTAATTATTTTAAAATCGAATACGTATTGCATTCATTTGTTTTAAGAATAAAAATATTATTGAGGTGAAAATCCATCATGGCGTTTCATGTATCTCCACAAATATTAAACTATGATTTATACACAATTTACAAATATGGATTTATTGTACTATAATTCTTTATTTAAAAGAGCAACACGCAAAATTCTTTCTCGTTCTTCAAAATTCACAATATCTTTATTCATGTAGGTCTATTACAGACTGTTATGATATGTCAAATCTACAGTCAGTTCGGAATGATTTCGAGATGAGAAGAACTGACAAGAAACTCAGCTCGTATTTTTTTTTAAATGTTGTACATATTTACATCTTTATTACTTCTTGTGACAAGTCGGCTTTCCGAATGAGCGGTAGATTAGTATAACTCTCATTCCTACGGTCTGTAAGAGATTGCGTTAGCGATAAGACCGCCATCTGTACCTTCTTCTTTCTTTTATATAATGTTATATATATTTTTTTATGTATCTGCTTTTAATATTGGTGCAATAAAGAATTATAAATAAATAGAAATAAATATTTTTATGACTATTCAAAAGTGCTTATATGTATTGAGTTTATTTGAAGTTTATTTCTAATTCTACATTTATATTTTTATGGCTCTTCAAGAGTGATTATATTAAGCTCTATTCTTCTTCTATATCCACTTCTCTACATATAATTAAATCACAAATTTGTGTGTTTGACTGTTTAGATAGATAAAATCTTTATTCGTATCCTTTTTATCCGTTTTTGTGTTAATCTTTCACTTAAAACGGTTTGAGGAATTAGAATGAAGTTTTCAAAGATTATCAACGTAGATAGATGTCAACTTATAGACTAAAGAAAGCTGAGAATGTAATATTTGGGATGAAATAAATAATTTTATGAATACTTTAAATACGGCCACGGTCCTTTACATTAATTACTAGCTGTTCCCGCGACTTCGTCCGCGTGGACGTTAACTTTATTTATCTAAAATAAAAATAAAATCTAAAATAAAAGTGGCCTAAGTTACTCCTTATTACATCAGGTACCTGCCAATAAAAGTCCCGTCAAAATCGGTCCAGCCATTTCAGAGATTTACCGGAACAAACAGACAGACAGACAAAAATTTTACTACTACTACTTTAGTAACTTAGGCTACTTTTCTTCTAGAAAATGAAGTTAAATTCCACGCGGACGAAGTCGCGGGAACAGCTAGTTTTTGTATACATAAAGATATACAGAAACTTACCCATTACCGCTGCTGTTCAATCCATAGCAATCATTGATCCCTGCTAGCACACCGACAACCCCAGCAACCACTGCTACACACCCCGCCCACAGTCCAGCACCGACCCTCGACAGGGCGGCGCCCTTCACCACAGCAACCGCCCCAGCGCCCACCAACAACGCCCCAAGAATCACCTGCCCCAACCCCAAAAACACAACCAATTTCTTCCTACCACTACCATCCACCGTCCCCGCTTCAACACTTTTCGAGCTGACACTCTGCTTTTTCTTTTTAACTTCCTTGGCGGACTTTTGCGGAGTTTTACAAATCAACTGTTCAGTGGAGTCCTCGGACTTCAGGCTCGAGACCGTGGCGGTGGGCGCCCGGCCGTAGTTCTCGGCCAGGATGGTGACATTCTCAGATTTCTCGTCTTCCGTCATCGCGGCATATTCGGCAGTCCGACGGCACAGTAACGACGTTCGACGCCCGGCGCGGTTGTACGCACACTGGCGCGAGGTGCGCCCGCGCTGGAGAAAGTCCAATGCAATTTCGAAGGCATCAGGAAGTCAGGTGTTTGGTGATGATAATGAATTTGCTATATCGGTATGGTGTGCGGATGCTGCGCGATTATAATGATGTCATCAGCTGTTGACTGATCAATTTGATTGTGTATTTACTTCTTTTATTTTTGTATCAATTTGATTGTGTATTTACTTCTTTTATTTTTGTTGTCAATATTATTAGGTTACTAGCTACTCGCCCCAGCTTCGCACAAGTGTACTATATGTTAACCTTCCTCTTGAATCACTCTATCTATTAAAAAAACCTCTTCAAAATCCGTTGCGTAGTTTTAAAGATTTAAGCATACGTAGGGACGGACAGACAGCGACCGCGACTTTGTTTTATACTATATAATGATTTTGTATTTATTTTTATTTGCGTTAGTTTATTAGTATTTATGGTAAAGGCACACAAACTTGTGCTTTTAACGTAAATAAAAATTGTATCTATCTATCACTATTAATTATAGGTACATCTAATATATGATGGTCTAGCGGTTTAGTACACCGTCATTTTTGCGATGGTCGCGGATTCGATTTGCACGGTACAAACATTTATTTATGAGTATGATTATTTGTATCGGTTTGCTTGTTTTCTATGTATATTAAGTATATATTTACAAAATAAATATATCTACATATTTATATATTAGTTGTCTAGTACCCATAACACAAACTACTTATTTTGGGATTAGCGCTGTGGGAGTTGTAATATTAAATTAATATTGTAAGTTTCTTGTTAGTTCTTCTCATCTCGAAATCATTCCGAGCTGACGGCAGATTTGACATATCATAAGAGTCTGTAATAGACCTACATGAATAAAGATATTTTGAATTTGAATTGAATTTGGACCGTTGACCCCGTTTCTAGCAAAGTACCATGTCAGTTTGACCTATACGCGTTTCCCCCTGGAAACTATCACAATAAATTTCTGTTAATTTTTCATTATAGGTACTTGATTTAACCACAAATATTATGTGGCGAATAAATAATGAACTAATAAAAAAACCTGCAAATTTTTTAAATAACTTATGGTATGTGAGACAGGGCCATAGTTCAAAGACTCTCTCTACAACGGGCGACCTACATACATAATGGCCCTTTTATACTAATGTAAGTACAGAACGGCAACATACGGACGCAAAACTTTGTATTTAAGTTATTATTACACTATAAAATATAAGATTAAGTTCGCTACTTAGAATATATTAATGTGTTGAATAAAATTGACAAAGATTTATTAAAACTATAAAAGATTTACTCACCAAAAACATCTCTCTTGTGATGAGATAGCTTTCCGAATGAGCGGTAGATTGAAAAAAATGCGATGACTATTCAAAAATGCTTCAATGTAAGTTTATTTGAATAAATGATTTTCTATTCTATTCTACAATCTTATAAAATATCTTCACCTATCTAGAACAGGTAATTGTATACTAGAACGTGTAACTCAAGCTACACTAGCAGGCTTCTAACAGATTTTTTTTTATTTTTCCCTTTTATTTGTTTCACAGTTTTTTTAACGTATTTATTTTGATTTATTTTAATTCTTAGGCTCCCGCTGCGATTTGATACAGGGGAAGTTTTAATAGAAGTTGTCACTGTAGCGATATATATTATATTATACATATTTTCATAATTACACATATTTATACATAAAATATTATATTAAAGTATATAATAGATTTAATATTTAAATATAAAATGTAATCATAAAAAGTTTTCGCATGTATGTAGTGTACACTTATGTATTGTTAATCTGTCTTAACTTATAAATAATACCTTTAGCCAGGGCCTCATAAGAAGCAAGAGTTTCCGGCTTCTTAATGAGGCTCGTCAAATTATAAAGGGCGTCAATCTCATACAGGCCATACGTTTGCTCGTACTCATGCCGGGCTCTTCCAAACATGGTGCAGCTACTGAGCAAATGTTGTACTGTTTGCTCGCTATCTCCATCACACGGACAACTTGCGTCATCAATCATACCAAATCGCTTCAGATAGCTTTTATTATATCCATGCCCTGTGAGTACCTGGGTGAGATGAAAGGAACGTTCAATACCAGCAAACAGATCACGTATTACATCTAGACGCGGCAAAAGGTTTCTGGTAAATGCTCCTTGTTCCGCTGAGGTATATCTCCTTTCCCATGTTTTTTTTATGGATGATAATGGAATGGTGCACCCGCCTGCGCTAACGGTTTACGCTGGCCGGGCACCAGTGGAGGATGATAAGATGAGCATGAGGTCAGGTCAGTTAGCCCATCATGACAAATTCACCTAGAATTCATCACGATGGTTTCCAGGGGGAACCGCGTGGAGGTCGACCTAACATGGTACATTGCTAGTTGGGAGTTACTAGTTCCCATTACTAACAATCCTCTTCCCCCCCCTTTCCCATGTTTTTTTTTTATGTGATAATGAAATGGTGCACCCGCCTGCGCTAGCGGTTTACGCTGGCGGGGCACCAGTGGAGGATGATAAGATGAGCATGAGGTCAGGTCAGTTAGCACATCGTGACAAATTCACCTAGAATTCATCACGATGGTTTCCAGGGGGAACCGCGTGGAGGTCAACCTGACATAGTACATTGATAGCAATGGGGTCAAGAGTCCACATTACTAACAATCCCCTTCCCCCCCCCCCTTTCCCATGTTAGTCAGGAAGAGACAAGAGTGATAAAGGTCAGTGATGATGTACGTCGGCAAGGGCCTCTTAAGCCTACACCACACACACGGGTCACAAGTCCCGGGAACTGCTCGGAGTGTCACATGATAACGTGATGTCCATAGTGCTGTTCATGTATATAGGCGACACTTACCAATTACCATCAGGTGACGACCCTGAACTTGCGTCATTCCAATTTCATGTACATAAATATAATAAAACATATTTGTTAATTTTGTGATTATGAAGTAAATTGCACGTTTTAATCAAATCTGATTAAATACGACAGAGCGTGCGATAACGTATGAAGTTACTTATATTGATATCACGTATGTTAGGGACTAACTAGTATATATGTTCGTGATATTTAATACTAATTTAGCGTAACTAGATATTTATTTATTTATATGTCGTTTTGAATGTGGTACAATAGTGTAGGTTGGTTTTAAAATTGTCTTTGATATTTAGTCATCACTGACTTGCAACAGCTAAAATTATCAATTGTCTGAATATCTATTATTTATATATATCGATCATGTATGATGTAACTTTCATAAATTACAAACCATACATAATAAATTCGATTATATGTAATTAAAGTTAACCTTGTAACTGCAAAAATAACCGCATTGTTAACAATTTACCCTGTTAGGTCGACCTCCACACGGTCCTCTCTGGAAACCATCGTGGTCAATTCCTTGTGAATTCATCACGATGGACTAGCTGGCCTAACTACCTACCATCCTTCACTAGTGCCTCATCAGCTTCTACCGTTAGCGCAGGCGGGTTTCATTAAAAAAAACTCAATCTCTGCGTATCTTAGGACTAGATTGCACTCTGTGATTGTTCAGGGTTATAAATATTTTTAATAGTAGGGAGATGTGTTTATTTAAAAAACATAAAGACCAACGAAATGCTTACTATCGCTCTACAACGCCTTATGTCGCAAACGCCTGTCGAGAAATTAATATCAATGTTGTATAAATGAATAATGTTATATTATAAATTGCAGGCTACGCATATATTTGTAACCTTGATTCTCAATGCATTCTGTTCTTCTTTAGTCATACACTCTTGACAGAGTGGTCGTATCTTTCATTATGCTATCAGGATTCTCTTCAATGTGAGCTCACTGCAATATATCTTCATTAGGTACGATTTTTGATTGTACGAGAACATTCCATAATGGCCAGTCCATTGTGGAATATTATGTGACTGCCATGCCTTAATGACTAAGAGTTATACGTCCATAACATAGGTTAGAAAGCAAATAGATTGGTGGTTAAATTGAGTGAGATAGAGGTATCCAAGACGAATTTAGAATGGATAGACTCAGACGCTCCTCCAGAGTTCTTATTAATATTATAACAGATATTACTTACAGATATTACTCCTCTGAAAATCAGCGCTGTAGCTTCGGCTGCAGCAATATGCTGAACGGAGTCCTGTTTAGCAAATATTTGTTAGTAGTGTATCGGTTTTAATTATTATTTTACTGCATAGCAGTGGCGGTATGTGTATATGTTCATTCATGTATACATACTGCAAAATTAATATAATGTATGTAGGCTAATGTTGATTTTTTTTTGCTAAATAAATGTATATTACAATTATTATTATTATATTATAAACGCTAAGGTTTGTTGGATAGATGTTTGTTAACGCAAAAACTACTCAACGGATTTTGATGAAACTTTAAAATAATGTATTTTATACATCAGAATAACATATGGGCCATAAATTTCACGCGAGTGCAACTACAACACAACTAGTTGGTTAATAAAGAATAAATATGTATGGCGGATTTTTTTTATTACATAATATTTGGAATGGTTTATGCTATAGGATAAACATAGCGTCAGGTCAATTAGCCTATCGTAGTTTAACAGGAATAAACTCAGATGGTTTCCAGGTGCACCGCGAGGATAACAACCTGACTTGGTACACAGCTAGCAATGAGGGCCCGAGTAACTATTACAACGTTTGTTTTAAATATTATAATTATTTCTGTACAAGCTTCAATTTCCACCACACTATAATGGCTCCCTATCCGTAATCGTCGTTATATTTGTAAGCTATGCACACTTTATTCAATTCTGTACGATCCTAATTATCCTGAATACATAAGTAGTAAATTTCATTTCCATGGGGACAACACCAATCTCTACGGACTACCAGAAAATTCTTACTTCATATCCCGGCTCATTTATCCGGCTTCATCCATCTTTCCGTTTAGGCAATCAATCTCTGG